GGTCACAGAGCAAGATACTGTCTCAAAGAAGAAGAAGGAGGAAGAGGAGGAGGAGGAGGGAGAGAGGGAGGGAGAGGGGGAGGGAGGAGGGGAGGGAGAAGGGAAGGGGGAGGAGGAGAAAGAAGGAAAAGGAGAAGGAGAAGAAGAGGAGGAGGAGGAGGAAGAGGAGGAAGAAGAAGGAGGAGAAAAGAAAGAAATGAAATAAACTAGACTAAAATATAATATAAATAAGACAACCAAACAGATATGAATAATGTTACCCCCAATCCCTGTAAATTTTAGATACCTATGCATTAAATATATACATAGGTTATATTCTAGTTAGCTTCAGCTATCAACTTGATGAGCCTAGAGTCATTTGAAGAAGTTTCCATTGAGGGATTACCCAGATTAGAGTAGCCTATGGTCATATATGTGAGGGATGGTCTTCACTGATGGTAGATGTGGAGCACCCTACCCACCGTGAGTGGTGTCATCCCAAGGCATGTAGGCCTGAGTTGTAGAAGAAGGCTCTCCTGTGAGTGCACCAGATAGCAAACAAGCAAGCAGGGTTCCTCCATGATTCCTGACTTTTGTTCCTGCCCTGACTTCTGTTAATGATGGACTATGACCTGAAAGTATAAGATGAAATAAACCCTTTCTTCCCCAAGTTGCTTTTGGTCAAAGTGTTTTATCAGAAAAGCAAGCTAGAACAGGTTAAATGGGGTCCTAAGTGACCAAGAACAGAGAGGCTTCTGCAGGGCAGAGTAATGGAAAGTGGAGTGATGGTGGGGGTGGGGTGGGGGTGCAGATTTAGCTCAATGGACCACATAAGACTGTGATGCTATCATCTGCAGGGTTGCCTGGTGATACTGTGAGGTCCTCATTCTCAAAACTATATGGACAAAGACAGGTACATCAGCAGATTTCTGCATCTTTGAGGAAATGAGTTTGTACATCATGATCAACTCTGAAATTCAATAGCTCCCCAGACCAGGAAGCTTCTTCATCTTTCCATAGCTCATTCCATCCTTGTTTGTGCAGATTCTACACAACAGACTAGCCATGATCCACAGTGGATTTAGGGAGACGGGAGAAAGGCCTTCACCTGTAAATGGGAGAGACTAATGAAGCTAAAGGCCCAGGATCTGGTTCTTCATAAGCTGCTCTCTGGAAGCCTCCATGAGCCTCTGAGGTTCATTTCTACCTAACAACATCATCTGTAACACTCTTTGCTGCCTCTGGTACCCAATAGTCAGAGAGTAGAAGCTTGTTTTTGTAAACTATCCTTACATGGGAAGCAATAAGTTGACCAACTTATTTCAATTTCCTTAGAACATTTCCAGTGTTAGAACTGAAAGTCTTGTGTCCCAGGGCAAATGGGGGTGGTTGTTCAGCCTGGGAACCAATAAATGTACAGGCAATTCATCTCAGAAGCCTTGGAGCCTTTTGGAGAGCCAGAGAGAACAGCAGTACCTAGCTAGAAAAGGTCTCACCCACAACCACTCAATCTACTGCAGACTCCTGGCTCAGCTCCCAGCTATTGCCTCTATTATGAGCCAAAGAAAAACAGGAAGTTTAAGAAAAAGAGGAGGTCCCAAGGCACAAGTAAGAAACAGCTTGACGTTGACTAAGAAAGTGGTAAATTAAGATCTGTTTAGGGTTCTGTTTGGCAACCAAAAAAGACACCAGGAAAAATTTGTGTCAATTTCTACTGATAGATATTGGTAGCAATCTACCAATATGTCCCTTTTGCCCACACCCAGGACATCTCACCAGATTCTGTAACTGGTTCCTCTTTGGGAGCATCCCACTGGGCTCAGTTTAGGAATTTTCTGACCCATACCCCAGATTTCCATCCTGTTTAAACTACAGAATCTTGCCCTCTGTACCCAACAAGCTGGCTGGGTGAGCTACCCAGCTAAAGTAGTTGTTCCCTGAGCTCTATCTAGGTGATGTTCCACAAGTTTGATGGGCTTCTTCTGGGATCCTGCATTTGAGAAACACAAAACAGGTCCCTGGATGTTGAGATTACTTCAAGATTTTGGGAAGAAAAACAGACTTATAGAAATGGGTGATTATGGAACAAAATATAAAATTCATTTGATTTTCAGGAAAAAAAAAGGATTTGTATAAAAAAAAATGTAATTCTTGGGGTTAGGCAGGTCAGGCCATAACTCCAGATACATTGTTCTCTAGTCCTTTCCAGATGTGGAAACTTATTTACTCCACTTAGAACCCAGGGCCTTGAGGTGAGGCATTTGACAATGCCTATGTTGACCCCTTCTGAGGACCTCTACATCCTATCCATGCTTTTTGGTGCTCTAGGTTAGCCCATTTCCCAGGGAAAGTTGGTGTAACACCCCTCTGAATATAAATGACTTGTCAAGAAGACCCCCAGGCTCCTCCAAGACCCAGATACTCATTAACTCTCTAAGGAGGTGTGCTGCGTAGACTTATGTCAACTTGACACACAAGCTAGAGTCATCGGAAAGGAGGGAACTTCAACTGAGAAGATGCCTTCTTACTTAGTGATCAATAGGGAAGGACCCAGCCCAGTATGGATGGTATCATCCCTGTGCTAGTGGTCCTGGGTTCAATAAGAAAGCAGGCTGAGCAAATCATGGGAAACAAGGCGGTAAGTAGCACCCCTCCATGGCCTCTGCATCAGCTCCTGTCTCTAGGTTCCTGCCTTCTTTTGAGTTCCTGTCTTGACTTCCTTTGATGATGAACAGGAATATGGACATCTAAGCCAAATAAACCTGTTCTCCCCAACTTGCTTTTTGGTCATGGTGTTTCATTCCCACCATAGAAACCCTGAGACAGAAGAAGAAAGTTCACCACATCTCTGGTAGCAGAGGGCAGTCCTGGGCATTAGCACCAAATACTGATCACATTGAATGTCTCAAGAGTTCCTCACAAGCCCTTTGGCTCCCTTTCTTTGCTTCACCCTTGGGCTGTACCTGAGCCTCTTGGAAATACTGCTGAGCTTCAGTACCCAGAATGGAAGCTGGTTGCTGAGAAGACCAGCTCATGAAGGGGCTGCCCACCCCCACAGTATCAGCCCATCCCTCACCCCTTCAGTGAAGTCCAAGTTGACCTCTGCCTTGATTTTGCTCTCAATCCCTGAGAAGATTTAATCAACTTGCAATAGTAAGGCAGACCCAGGCCACCAAGGTCCTCTGAACCAAGCCAGCAGGGAATTGATGGAAGAATCTCATTGTTTCCACTGGGTCTATAGAAGCTCTCTAAGCACAGTGCAGATCCAACTGGCCCAATCCTAGTCTCATCTCAATCAGAAACTGCCAGCATGAGGTGAGAATTTGAGAATTGGAAAGGAACCCTGAGACCACGGAGCCCAAGTCTACAGGTCACAGATGAGAGAAACTAGAAAGTTAGAGTCCTTCTGTGGTCACGGGAAGAAAGGGAGGCTGAGAGGGAGATGCTGAGTGGGAATTCCTGCTTTGCCAGTTACTCAGCACTCAGCTCTGTGTGGTTCTTCCTCAGCTGTGAGATGGAGGTGTTGTGTTGACACCTCTCTTCAGGGCTGTCATTAGTATTTAAAGGAAATTTATTGTGTGTGTATACATGTGTTCATACACATATGTGCAAGTGCACATGCATGTGCTTGTGGAAGCCAGAGGTTGACAGCAAGGGTTTTCTCAGTCTGTCTTCATTTTAGTTTTGAGACAAGCTATCTCAATGAACCTGGAACTTAAGGATTCAGATGGGTTGGGTAGCCTGGGAGTTTCAGGAAACCTCCTGTCTCTGCCCTCTCGGCACTGAAATTAGAGGCTGTTTCATGACTCCCAGATTTTTACATGGGTCCTGGGGTTCTGAACTAAGGTTGTCATGCTTGAATGGCTAATACCTTATAGACATTTCCCACTCCCATAGAAAAGAATTTACAGGCACAGATCTAAAATTCCAAGGGGAAAGGCATGCCAATCAGCTGAGACCACAAGGCAAGTGGGAGACAGAGGTGCAGGAGAACTCATCCCCATTGTCAAAAGCGAACTTGAAATCTGCCCTGAAATCATCCCAAAAGCCAAAGGCCAAGGGAAACCCCATGAGTCAGCAAGCTTGATAACTATGCCATTACAGGGTGACCGCAAACCCCTCCCACATGGAGCCTCACTCCGTAGCTACCGTAATCAGACAGCGATACAAGGAGGGACCTGCAGGTGTGCAGCAATGGAGCTAAATGGAGAACCAACAGACCCACAGGAGAACGGCCAACTGGCTTTGGACAAGAGCACCGAGACAATTTTAGGAGAGAAGAGATGTGGTGCAAGAACATCCAAGAGGTAAAAACAGACAAGGCCTTGACCCAACCCTCACATCTATGCAGAACAACTCAGAATACAATAGACTTCATTGTAAAATTGGGAGATGTTTACAAGAAGATATAGGGAAGAAAACCACTCAGGAGCTATGATTCAGTGACGCATTCTTAGGTGTAGCACCAAGAGGAGGATCCAAACGCTGAAGCCTGATAAACATCAGCCAGACAAGGCAGTGCACACTCAGTACCCCAGCAACTCGGAGATAGAAACCAAGAGGATTGGGAGTTCCAGGCCAGCCTCGGCAACCTGCCTACATGAACTAAACACACACACACACACACACACACACACACACAAAAACCACAAAACAAAACAACCAACCAAAGACTGGTGTTGTATACAAACAAGAAACAAGAAACCCTGTCTCAAATAATGTAGACATTGAGGACCAACACCTAAGGTCCTTTGACTTCTGTATGTTCACATGTGAGCCCGTGTACACACACACACACACACACACACACACACACACACA